CTCTCTCTCATCTGGGTCAAAACACCAATCTAACCCCTCTGGTTCAACTCGTGCTAAAAAATAGAGCCTCAGCTAGCTTCAGTCGCTAGTGTGTCTCTTGAGGCCAGGGGAGTGAGGTTTTACTCACACAGCTCTTACTAGCTGGTCTCCATTACACTCTTGTTGTCAAAAGTACAACTTCAGTACCAAGTCGATACTGAAATTTAAAAAATGTGACGTTTTGAGCGCTGTTAACTGGAATCGTAAACACCTCTGAATGGCCATTGTACTCACATGGGCCCTGTCCCAATACTCACTTGAGCCCTAAGGCCTTCCTCGAAGTGGACACTTGTTGAAAGTGCACTTAGCGAAGAAAGTGCGCAAGGGCCCGAAGCTGTGTAGATCAGATTTGGGACAGTTTTGCACACGTCAAAAAGCTACATCAATTCTGTTGTGTCAGCAAACACTTTTCATTTGGCTAATGTGTGTTATGCTTATAATAGCTGTAACATGACACAATCCTTTGAATGAAAAATTGATATCTTTTTTTTTTAATCAGCAACCTTTCTGTTAATGTTATTAATATTAAAACATTTTTTTGCTAAGATAAAATGTGATTGAGGTTTAAGTTTATACTGCCTTACCATATTCACAGAGATTCAAAATGCAATGTTAATTATGGAAATTGATTAAATTCCCATACATGAAAAAAAACATGACGTTTTGGTGATATATTTTGTATAGGCTATTAAAATAGTCCAACATAGGCTGTATAAAATAAAATGACACAACCCTGTCTCTTTTTATTTTATTGACCAAGAATAGCCATTAATATAGTAGGCTATAAGTAGCTTAAAAAGTATAAGAATCTATATAAGTCAAGAAATAAGTCAAGTTAAAAGATTCAGTCAAACATAGCCTACGTTTCAACGTTACAGTTAAATAGCCTAAATAGTTATGAAACTTCACTTTTCCCCTCAGCCAAAACGATTTGCCAGGGAACAAATCATAGATTAATGAGACCAAAGATCGCCCGTCTGATATACACAAGCCGATTAATAGCTCACGTTTAACCACTAGACACAGAGCCCGCAGGAAACGCGAATGACTAGCCGGGGCAAGGCTGTTGCAGGCGGGGAACATGAGCGCTGAGCACCCGCCGCCCGGTGATCACCTGGAACTCCGAAAACATCAGATCAATTTTTTTTAAAATAGGCGCTATTTTTATAAATAAACCACAGATTTGAGCTTTAAACAACTATATTCTCGACTGAAAAACTCTTAAAACTACATTTCGTGACCCAATAACACAAATATTTTTGAAAAACTCTTCACCACAACCCGCTTCATTTATCTTAGCAGTTTCCGCTCCCGAACAGCACCATAGCAACCGTTCTCCCCTACAAGGATTCTGGGTAATATCCCACAGCAAAGTGAGGTCTGATGCGCACTTACGAAAAGGGTGCATTAAGTGCCCTTTTGATCACCCCTGGAGAACACTATTAGAGGATTGGGACACTCTACGGTCTTGCACCCCTTAGCGAGAACGCGCATTGAGGGGCACAAGGGCGCAAGTGCGGATATTGGGACAGGGCCATGCTCATCAAATATGTCTGTGATTGGCTACAATGATCAGCCCTTCAAAAACAAGTTGTAAACAAACATCAATGACGCTCTTCAGCGGTAGTGTTTGAAAGCAGCCATCTATCAGCAGATTGGTTCACTGAGAGATGCCTGCTTGTGCTTTAAAAGGCTCCCGCTTTGCTTTTTAAAACACTTTCAAGCACTTTTGGGGGGATGTGCACATATAGCATTTCGTTTTGTTTGTGACAAACGTATTATATTATATGCTCACCCTGTGGTCTGTGTGGGTCCTAATGCCTTAGTATTGTGATGGGGACACTATACTGTCAAACAGCACCGTCTTTTGGATGAGATGTTAAACCGAGGCCTTGACTCTCTGTGGTCACAAAAAAATCCCAGGATGTCTTTCGGAAAAAAGAGTAGGCGTTTAACCTAGCCTGGTTTTAACCAGACCATTCTCAGTTGTAACTGAGTTATGGACTGGCAAAGCGTCACAGACAAATCATTTCCAGAGGGGCGTCACCAACGGACGTCGCAGGTAGACCTAAAATCAATCAGAGCGATACAGGACATGACGTATGCAGTGCGGCGAAGAAACATCTCTTTGTTTTGCTTTGTTTTTAACAAAAAGGATACGTTAAAATCGCTTAAAACAGACGCGATAGCTGATTTGATCGAGTGATGTTGGACAGCGGCATCCATCTTTGTAATGTAGGCTACAAAATCTGCTTCAAAATCCAGCACTGTCGTCATCGTGTAAAGCCCGCCCCAACGTTTCTGATTGGTGCGAAGATTTCGACGGGTTGGAAATGGGCTTTTTGCCAGACTACTGTAACTTTCAGAGCAAATCTAAAATTGTCGGAAGTTGTCTAGGTTTTCCCAGGCTAGGTTTAACCCAGCATCCTGGCAAAATTTGCCCATTACCCTTTGTCCACCATGGCCTCCTAAAAATCCCCATATGTACTGATTGGCTTCATCATTCTGTCTCCTCTCCACCAATAAGCTGGTGTGTGGTAGGTGTTCTGGTGCAATATGGCTGCCATAACATCATCCAGGTCAATGCTGCACATTGATGGTGGTTGAGGAGATTCCCCTCTTCCATATGTGAAGCACTTTGAGGAGCATTATATAAATAACAAATTATTATAATTATATTCCTATCCCTGATGTAGCTATAGCTTGGGTCCTTTTTCAGAGGGAGTTTTTTTTTTTCTTCCATTATTACCATCTCCTATAGCCGAATCACTTATAAAAGTAATAGCAGGCCTAATCACAACCCACGTGATTTGTGATATCATTCATGTCTGCACCGCAATACAAAAGTTTAATACTTGGGGTTAGAAGTTTTTTCAAATCCATTATCCTTATAAGTATGAGGTTTAACGGTAGTGATGCTTGCCTTGGTAAGCCCTTTAATAACACCTAATCTCTAATAATAGAGCAGCTGGAGTTTACTGAGGTTTGCCCTTTGGATTTATAGAACGTGTGATTCAACTCCTGCATTGTCTTTCTGATTGCTTTGCTCCCTGTATACATCATCCACTCCTGCCTATAGTGCCCATCAGAACAGCAGAATGGGACGCACATCTGCCACACAACCTCTGAATAAAATATTTCCCTGCAAGCTGAGAGAAGAATAAAATGCCTTTTTGGGTCACAGTCTTTCTAAGAGGCTGAGTTTTCTTTTCCAGGCTCGCACAATCTCTCTGTTCCTCCCAGCTTTGTTATTAGACTTAAAACCTCTCAACTCATGAATTAATAACCAAATGGGATGTTTCTTTTGGGATCTATTCCAGGAGGTCATTCAGCCGCAGCGGAATCCACCGAGAGAGCAAGCGTCTCACTTCTCCAAGAGTTAATGCTGTCAGAAACAATTGAGATGTTTGTTTCTGGCCGGTTTTACGCTGGCAATCTAGTTCACAGCAAAGACACCTCAGACCCAAGGGTGTGTGTGAATGAGTGTGTACACAGTGTGTTATGACAGTTCACCATAAATGCAATAAAAAACATGCTGTCATGTTTACCAAGACAGTGACACGCAGACATAACAGAAAAAAAAAAATACTCACGGCTCATAAACTTTTTATAATTTTATAATTCCATATATAAATATACCGAGGTAGAAAGCACTTTTTCATGCAATCAGATGTGATATATACAACATGACTACAAAAAATCCTTCTTAACTTTGCCCACATCCTGTTCACATAAAAGTTTGCAGGAAGTACTTCATGCAAGTGTGTATTCCCCTGCCCTGTAACTTTAATAACAAGCAATCGGTCTATTGGGTTATGATCGGCTTTGTTTGACCAAACACTCGTTACAGGCGAGATATTATGAGAATTACAAGCAGTCATGTACTGTAGATATAACAGATGTAAAACTGCACTGCAGTTATGTGTAACAAAGTTCTCAGCTAACAAGGAACATTTATGCAGTATCTTTCTGAAAACGTGGCATAGTTCACATCATGCACTGATGATGGCAAACGCGTGCACAAAAGCTGACACCTGTTTTCACAGATGTTGCCTCATCCTATCAAATCAGTTTGAAAAAAAAAAAAAAGTTCAACGTTCCCTAAACACATTCTGCTTTCAGATCTGACAGCATCTGGCTGGCTTTTCACATTGTGTTTGAGCACAAAGATATCTTGAAACACAGCTTTTCCTTCCAAACAGGTCTTAAAACAGTTCAGATCTGAACACAATTACCAGACAGCCAGGATTATGTGCCATGTCAAACAAAGGAAAGTGAATAAGAGAACATATTCTTTTATTCATTTTAGGCTGAGACAACATTTTTCATGTGAAGGTTTCTTTTAATTTGAATTAATTTAGATTCCTGAATCCTTATGGGTTCTGAAAGGACAAAGACCTTTTCTGAACACCTTTGTGTCACTATGTACTATCAGAAAAAAAGGTACAAAAGGCTGTACCTTTTCAAAAGGTACACATTTGTACCTTATTAGTTCCACACTTATTAGTGTGCAAAATTTTCCTGTTCTGTTAGGTTTGTACATGTAATACACTCTAATTATAATCATAACTTATTGAAGATGACATTGCAGCTCCGAGATGTGATTAATTATAGTATATAAAATAAAGGTTCTTTATTGCCATTGATAGTTCCGTGAAAATCCTTTAACATCCATGGAAACTTTTCATTCGCTGTACGGAAAAATAAATAAATAAATATGTATTCTTGTAATAATGTATTCTTCTTGATAAGAAATAAAGTAGAAGTAGTAATATTGTGAAATATCCTTATAATTTAAAATAAGTTTTTAAATTCTAATATGTTAAAATGAAATGTATTCTTGTGATGACAAAGCTGAATTTTCAGCATCATTACTCCAGTCTTTAGTGTCACAGTAAACATTTCATATTATTACCTGTTTAAAAAGCAGTTGTGCTGCTTAATATTTTGTAGAAACCATGTTAAAAAAAAACAGGATTCTTTGATTAATAGAAACTTCAAAGGAACGTCATTTATTTTAAATCGATTTTTTCTGTAACATTGTACAAGTCTTTGCTGTCCCTATTGATACATTTAATGTATTTTATTTAAAAAACTTCTGAACAATAGTGTAAATGTATATATACATCTCAAATTGGTTGTTTAGGACCCAAGACATATTATTAAATCCATATTACTGTTACTGTTTTCTAAATCACAGACTGATCAATATCAATGAGGCAACAGTACAAACTAATACATACGTAGTTAGTACATGTATGAAACTCTGACAAATGCTGATTGGTTCTTTCAATGCAGCTGCACCAGCCAATCAGAAGTACTTCCAAATCCACGTAGCCTTATACTGTACCCTAACCTGCGATCGGCATGCTGCACAATATAAAAGCTTCTGCAACACCACCAACACTAACCTTCTGCTACTTTCCGATTTATTCATTGATCCAAAGCATGTTACAATTGCTATATATGGAGCAACTAGGGGTTAAGTGTCTTGCTCAGGGACACATTGGTGTCTCACAGTGGATTCGAAACCAGGTCTCTCACACCAAAGGCATGTGTCTTATCCACTGAGCCATCACCACCCCATTTGCTCAGCAGCAGCAGATCTCGTTCGCAAAATCAAGCCTATGTTTATTTCATGCCCTATGCAAATGCTGGTTGAAATTCATTCACTCTGAGAATTGTCATGACTGAACTGCATTTCACAGATTTCTTGTTATAAGCGGAAGCTACAACTTTTGGCAGGCACAAATAGACTAGCATCAACGCTATGGCACACTGGCACGCTCAATGAACAGCTTCACAGACGACAGTATCTTTGCTGTCTGGATTTTGACCACAATCACTTTTTCATCCCCACAAACTACTCCCTTGAGCCATTTTGTGGCTCTACCGCAGCAAACAAAATACTTGTCAGCAGGTTCAAAACCATTTATTTCCAAGCAATGTAATTATAAGTATGGGCACTTTACCTGATAATGACATGTCTTAGGCTGAAGTCATATTTCATTCTTCTCTGCTCCCGCTTTACTGTATGTTGTTCTATTCATAGCTATTAAATTGTATGGCCTTGGATACCTCAATGCTGTATATAATGCAGCATTGCTTTATCTGCGGCATGAACAGTATGATTCCCTATCATTTGATTTGAAAGGCTGTTTTCACAGTTTTTTCTTTTATTTGCTCAGAATTAAAAAAAATGAAAATGTTAGTGTAAAATGTACTTCACACTAAGAAAAAAAAAAAGGTTATTTTAAGGACTGTTCACCGGTTCTTTGGGAAACTAAAACTGGTTCTTCTATGCTATGTCGTCACTACCAAAACGCCATTTTGGAACTAACAGCCACTGTATATAACAACTCAGAAGATGCCAGTTTTTGTCCCTTTAGATTTACCACTAAAACGGCACTCAAGTCTGTCTGCAATGAATGTTTAGCAAAAGAGAATCACCAAATGGGCCCTGCTTTCCAAAAATAATTCTCTAACACGCGTATACGTGTGACTAAACAACACTTCATTTCCTGGAATGCGTTTCATTGAATTTCAACGCTTCTTGCCATTTAACTTCCTGCGTGTTTTGGCCAATTCAGTTCAAATTCCAACTAATGAACTAAAAGGAAGGCCAATTATTAGTTTTTGCATTTTTCAATCCAACCAAACAAACCGAATTTGGTTCTGCATCAAAAGAATGAAAGCACCCTTAAGGGTTTTCCAATATATAATCAATTTATGTAGATTATATATTAAAATTGCATCAGTAACTGGCAGCCTTCGGTTTAAGGCAAACATGCACAAATGCATCTATAAATGAATGTTTACAAAGGTTCTTAGATGCCCATTTCAACGAATCATTGCAAGAAATCATGTGCAACCCACAGGTACAGTAAGTTAATTCTGTGGAATGAAGCAAAGACACATTTCCCTCATAGAAATACCCTAAAGAAGTCAAAACTGTCAAAATAGTACCTCGGTTTCTTTTTACTTCTAATTTATTTCATTTCTTTAACTTTCTTCATTTTCCTCTTTACTTTGTTTTACATCAACAATCTTGGCAAAACACTTAGTGTTGTCCTTGTTCGGAAAAGGTAATACACAAAAATACACAGGCGATTTCAATGTTTCTGGTGCAGGGTTCAAATCTGTGACAAGAAACACTTTTTATAAGCTTCTCACAAAGATTTGGCAACACACATATACAACTGTACATCAAAAACATTTTAACCTCTAGATCTCCGTGTGTAAACAACCACATCAAGTTCTTCAGTCAATAATAATGTGTCTGTTAAGAGTAGGCAAGACTTGAGATTTAACAGGATTCAGTCCTCAGTAAATGTTGCTTACCACAAGTTTCATCATATATGGTTGAGGAGACACTTAAAGGCATTGAACGTCTTTTCCAATTGCCACATCAGGTCAAAAAATGGGTAGAAAACGGACAATGCCAGATCACAGCATATTCACAAAGGCTCACTGAGTGAGATGTTCCATCAAAGACAGCCGTCTATTCCATGCTCTTAAAGTTCTTAAAATAGATGGACTGAATCATCGGAAAAGCAAGGTGAGTGTCCTGTCTCTTGTTTCTAGGCAGGGATTCACGCTCTCGCACACACACATTCTGATGGATTTCCAATATCAGTCAAGCCTCATAGTGACAACTGCCCACAAGCCCTTATTTTTCCTCCTCTTGAGACTTGGTCGCCTGATGTGTACAGAACATCTGCTTTAAAGTGTCTGCATACTTCTTCAGAACGCTCGCATGTGGAGGGAAATCAATATAATCACAGCTTAATGCGGACAAATGAACCAGCAAATTAACCGATGACTGGCTAAATACAAACTAAGGAAGATTTAGGAGGCTACCCTTTTGCGTCACATTGTGGAATCTATTGTGATGAGAAAATGAACAGCTTTGAGAAGATAACAGCCAGTTGCTTTATGACAGCAAAACAAAATAAAAAATACTGCGAATTTATAGACAGAAATAGCAAACGTACTGTTGCTTTAATTTTAGGATATCACTATTTTATGCAAGCTTTGGCAAATTTCAGGTAATTTTGGCCAACTTTTATCATTTAAAGTGCCAATTTACCTGAATGCAATCTAAATTTCCAAATGAACATCTGTTTCTTTCTCCCTGATTCTTGAGAGTTCAAGCCAAAACATGAATCATATATTAATTTGTTCTGAAAACAGCCAATAGCCGTTGTTCTTTATACAAAGGAACAATTTTATTTAAAGTATAATTACATTATCTCTTGCTGAATAAAAGTATTTCTTAAAAAAAAGATCTTACTGATCGTTAACATTTGAACAGCAGCATATATAAATAGAATTGAATAATGGATAGGCCTATATAAAATAAAATCTAAACATAGCCTATTTAAATAGGTTTAAATGATTTAATGAACTCAACAAAATCAAAGTGCATATTTTCTCAGTTCCGTGGCCTGTTTTGTCTGAATTCTCAGTGAAATCAGGCCTAATATGGTATACCTTGTTGTCTCCTGGGGGAATAATAAGGGGGAAAACAACTACTGACCCAAACTATGCCTTAATGGTAGAGAAATATGAGTGTTCTGAAGAAATATGAGTCTGTATGATTTTATGTTCATAAGTGGATGTAGAAATGCACATTGTTCGGCTTTGTGAAAACCAAAATTGGGCCAGACTATATCCTTCATCACTATACCTTAAACCCGCAGTGCCTCATGCACACCTACAGCTGACAGTCGCCGGTTTATGTTCCGATACCTGCAACGGAGCAAATCCCTGTAAGTGGAGCGCAGGTCCCGGTTAAAGAAAGCGTAAATAAAGGGGTTCATTAGTGAATTGGCATATCCAAACCATAGCAGCGTCCTCTCCAGCCAAATTGGTATGCAACTACACTTGACCCCACATATAAAGGGTCTCGCTGTAGATAGAATGAAAAACGGCAGCCAACAAATGCCAAAAACTCCAACTATCACGCCCAATGTCGTTGCTGCCTTTTGCTCTCGCTTAAAAATTGAGATATTCTGTCGTTCACGGCTGAGAAAACGAGAAAGAGCAGCGCACTCCTCAGCTACGCCAGGTGTGTGTTGAGGTTTTAGGCCATGCATCCTCAGGGCTTCGCTGGCAACGGTCTCCAGGCGTTCCCGACGGGGGAAGTCAGTAAAACGATGTTTGGCCCCGCTTTTTCTGGCGGCCTTGAAGATCTTGTAGTACATGAAGAGCATGACTATCATGGGGATGTAGAAGGCCACGGCGGTGGAGTAGATGGTGTAGCCGAAGTCCTGGCTGATAAGACAAACGCCGGCCGTGTTAACGTTCTTCGCCCAGCCGCAAAATGGCGGCAGTGTGATGGAGGCCGACACAAGCCACACACCAAAAATCATCTTCGCCATCAATTGGCCATTTTGACGAGCAGGGTAGGTCAAAGGGCGGGTGATTCCAAGATACCTGCAATCAAACAAACAGATGTAGAATTCAAAATTGACAATTCTTGTTTTTTTTTATATAATATTGGCAGTATTTATTATACATGATTTTTCAAAACTCTTGTGCCTTCGTAATCTAATCAAAATAACAAAATAACTCTATAAAATTCCCATTGACAAAATTAAGTCCCACCCAACTTTTTTTTTTCTTGTAGGAGAAGCCATTCACTTGGATATATGTCACAGTCACAGATCTTTACTTCCTTCCACTGTAGAAAATGAAGTCAGTATCCAATATCCAGGCCTTTTGAAGCAACAATTCCTCTTTGGAAGAAAAATATCTATATTTATAACTTTATAAACTAGAATCATTGGCTTCCGGTAAACACTGTACGCGAGTCGAGTTCCCGAGGAGTGAACTCTGAACAGACACATGACGTATTGACAAACGGGGAAGCACAGAGTAAAGAGAAAAATAAAATTAGAAGTCGCGGTCACGAATTAGAAGTCTAAAACAAGAATATTTAAAGGGATAGTTCACCCAAAAATAAAAATTCTGTCATCATTTACTCACCCTCAAGTTGTTCCAAACCTCTATGTGTTTATTTGTTCTGCTGAACACAAAGGAATATATTTGGAAGAATGTTTTAATCAAACAGATCTCATTCCCCATTGACTACCATTGTATGTATTTTTCCTACTATGGTAGTCAATGGGGAATGAGATCTGTTTGATTAAAACATTCTTCCAAATATCTTCCTTTGTGTTCAGCAGAACAAATAAACACATAGAGGTTTGGAACAACTTGAGGGTGAGTAAATACTGACAGAATTTTCATTTTTGGGTGAACTAACCCTTTTAAAGGATTGTCGGAGGAGAATAATTTTGTTGCCCAGCCCTATTTGTTTGAAACGTGAGAGGTGTCTGCTCTCATCAAACGCTGGAACTCGACTCTCTCGCGAATACACGTCCAGCCATTATCTGAAAGTTAGTGACTACAGTTTGTAAAATTATAAGTATGGATATTTTTCTTACAAAAACGCATCGCTTTGCGTCAGAATGCCTACACGCTGTATGGATTACTTTTATGATGGATGGAACTGGCTTTTTTATATGACTTTATAATATAATATTTAATATAACAATTGTGTTTGGCTGGAAACACAATTGTTATATTAAATTCTTTCTCATTCTTATGAGCTAGATTCCAATTCTTCTCAACGTTAAGCTTTTCCTTCACAACTCTTAAATTTCATTGTCGTTGTATATTCAATTTTCCTCATCCAGATGCCACACCAGGTTTGACATCAATAATGGCAAATTAAATTGATTCATCTGTGTTTTCCCAGTAATTGTGATGCACCAAATTTGAATATGTGCATATTCAGATCATACTGAGATTTGACAATCAGAGGGAAAGATTTTCTTAAATTACATATGACTGCACAAGACTTGGAATAAAGTGTGTGAGCCCTTTTGTGTTTCACAGAAGAAGGAAAATCATGCAGGTTTGGAACAACATTAGGTTGAGTAAATTACATTGAACTATAGAAGAAGTAAAATGTATAAATTACAAGTGTAACTTCTTTACCAAAATCATTGTTACCTGCAGATGTATTTACTTGCCTCAATTTTGGATTCCCAGAATTCTGCTCAATGTGTGATCGAGAGGCGAATGAGAGTGAAGTGAGACTGAATGTATTCTAAAAAAACAAAAGTTCACATCAGGAGCATACTACAGCGAGACGAGAGCATGGTGGGGCAAACTGCATTTGTCTGAGCAGTTCTTGTCTGAACCAATCAGCACCCACTCAAGTTGAATTGAGCTGAAGTGCAGAATTTGAGAAAAATGCATGAACAAAAAATAAATAAATTATATTATTGCCACTTCTGCTGCTGAAGAAATTAACCTTGATGGTGCCATTGCGTCTGTTGTGGCTAAATCGCAGCCCTTGAAGGTTTGATGAAGGATTCTCATTGCCATGACCCCTGCCTCCAGGAGACACTCATGCAAAAACGTGCTTTCCATAGAGATCTAAATTTAATCTCTTTGCAGTTTCCACTCTTGCTGGGGTCGTACTGAACTCACAAAGCCGGCTCTGCACTGTTAGTATAAGACCGGGTATAAATGATAATGAATAACTAAGGTCAAATCCAAACAGAGTTTATTGAAGTACTGACAGGGTTGCAAACAGCTGAGTACCTAGAGGGAAGATAGTTGGTGTGATACTGGCTGAGAAATGACAGTTTTTATCGGTTTCAGGTGGATCAGAGAAGTGACTGGGAGACTGGATGGTTGGCAGACGAATGATCACAGATGACAGAAGCAGACTGATGGTTGGGAAGTTCGAAAGAGGACTCCACCGGTGGAATCAGCAGGTACTGTAGGTACTTCAGGTAAGTGTTGAGGAATGAACAACAAGACCAGGTGTGTGTTTCCTATACAATGACATAACTCGCTGCTTTATTGAATCATTGAAGAAATCAACTAGCATGTCAGGACCAAAACCGCATGGTTGCAAATTTGCAGTTCAACCACATTGATTAATGGTGGAGCAATAACTACTTTTAATGAAACTGTTTGAGATCGAATTAATGCTAGATGTTTTGCGATAAATTACAGACATGGCATCTGAGGAATATTTATCATTTTTCTCATTTTTCATTTTGCTTTATTTCCAGATTCAATTATAGGATCGTTCCTACATACTGTAGTAGACCCGCTTTAAAGGGTTGAATCAATTGGGCGAATCCTTCACTGAATTAATTTACTGAATCCATTCGAGTGGTTTCTGAGTCAATATTATCACTTCCAGTGATGGAATATTTTAATTTATTACACAGCTACATGAAATACTTAATTCTTATTGGTCCTGTTATTCACCGTCGTCCTTGAGTATTTTGTATTTCTTAGAGGAAGCTTTAAGATAATAATACATACAATTCTAAGATCATTTCTCTTTTGTTTTGCGTTTTTTTTATGCAGGAAATCAGAAAAATGTAATACGTTTTAATAAAAAAAGACGGACACTTTTATCTAAAGCAACTTACAAATTAGGAATACAAGCGTTTCATCTTAAATTTTTAAGATTTTACTGTCGCCTGTGGTCTTTATCAGTAGGACCGGTTACATTTGGTGCCGTGACCCGGATTGGAGTGAGGTTTAGGTGGGTGAGTGTAATGGAGGCAAGAGTTCTCTCCGTTACACACACGAAAAGTCTTTAATGTCCTTGTTAGCATGCCAGCCCTCCTATGCCAGAAATGAAGGTTCAAATCCTGCTCGGAGTGGATCAAGTAGGACCAGTTATATAAAGAATATGTTGTTAAGTACACGTACAACACTGATTTAAAATTCCTGAAGCGCTATATCCAATATGTAGTGACAACTCAACTACACAGATCTGAATCTCCATGGCACCAGCTCTGGCAGACACCACCAGCTGCAATAAAGTAAATGATTCCAGCATCCTTTTAAGCAGCTTAGCAGTCAAACACCCATTGGTTTATGATTCCCAGGGCAACGAAGAGGTCTGCGGGTCATGTAAATAACATGACCATTATTTATGTAATGACACTGAGGGCACAGGAGTTTAGAATAGAATCATTTTAATCATAATTCTAGGTCATATGGAAAATGCAGTCTGACCTTTCCATGTAATCCTTCGAACAACATGTACAATTTTCAACTTCAAAATGAAAAAAAAAAAAAATCTTACGAGAGACCTTATAGAGTTATTTTGAGCTAGAAGGCTAGAAGAGGTTCGGGTAAACTAATCCTATACAGATCTCATGTGGCTTTATTACTGTATTTACCAGTGATTTCTTGACATGCAATTCTTTTAACGTCGTACAAATACGTTTTTGGAATGCTTTTGTTTTTCGTTATATTTGGCAAATCTCAAATCTTGGACTTCATGTTGTTATCATGCTAAATCTTGAGGGTTTATTATAGCACAACATTATTCTTCGTGAAGAGAAGGAAAGGAGAATCAGAACTCTTCCACTTAGCATCAAACCTTTTTCTGCTTTCATTGTTATAAATTGCATCCAAAAGCGTCTAAATGCCAGTTTGATATACAGTAGTAACCATGGGAGCCACGAGAGTGAAAGTACCCTAAAAATAGCTATGATTTTTTTTTTCTCACGTTGAGTCAACATTGAATATTTCAGATGTCTAGGAGTGAGGAGTGAGAGGGAACGACTCGATGAGCTTCTAGAAAATTCCTGGCTCTTCCAGGAAATGCTATTACTAAGGGCATTCTGTGGTCTTCGATGTACATTAAGGCTGGTTTGAGGATTAACCCTTCCACTATGTTGCAGAAGAGTGTTGAAGTGATCTGTTTTTGAATGTTTGCCCAATACTGCTATTGCTCATTTTTAATCTTTTTGTGTCTGGGACGAGAAACAGTGGAATATTCAAGTATTGCTTTTAGACAAACTCAAATGTAAAAAAAAAAAAAAAAATCCTTCACAAATCAGTTGTTCCGAAGTGAGTTTGTCATTAAATTATCTCTTTTGTTGGACAACAGGTTTGTAAACGCTTCTCATTACAAACTTTGGTAGTTTTTGGTGTGGTTTGCTTTTTCGAATGCACGTCGTCAAAAGATAGTTCACCCAAAAATGAAAATTCTGTCATCCTTTCACCCACGTTTTTTTTCTTTCTTTTGTTGAAAACAATATATATTTAAAAAATCTTAAAGGGATAGTTCACCCAAAAATGAAAATTCTATCAGTATTTACTCACCCTCATGTTGTTCCAACCCCGTAAGATCTTCGTTCATCTTCGGAAAACAAATTAAGATATTTTTGATGAAATCTGAGAGCTGGATCACTCCTCCATACTAGTCTATAGGATTCTTGAGGCATTGAAACTTGCCGGCCTCGAAAAGTCATTAAAGACATCGTTAAAATAGTCCAAGTGACTACAGTGGCTCAATCTTAAGTTTATCAAGTGACGAGAAAATTTTTTGTGCGCAAAAAACAACAAAAATAACGAATTTATTTCAACTATTCATTTACTTC